ATATTTTTTTTTTTTTTTTTTTTTTTTTTTTTTTTTTTAATCAGTCACTTCCCCCAGCTGGAGACTAGTTCCCTTCTGAAAGGGTCCAGGTCTATAACCTTCCAGGTGAAGCTGTGGTAGTCTCCTCTGACCAGCTGCCGGGGACTTGATGGCAAATGCACATGCATTCAGGGGCCAGGACAGTATGTCAACGTGTCAAGTGGCTGGGGTAGGGCCAAAATCATGCCATGAGGGCAGAGCCTTCATCCATTTTGTTCACTGCTTTATCACAGCATCTGGCGCAGAATCTGCACACCGAAGGCTCTCAATAAGATATATGGAATGAACAGTGGACCCTGTAGAGAACTGGGAAGTGCATTTCTCACAAAAGACATTCTTGTCAGAAAAGCTTGCCTCTGGTAATATTCTGCTTCCAGCTTGCAACTCTTATGATTGAACAAACAAGTCTGCTTGTGGATGGAATGGAAAAATGACTGCCAAGCATACTGATGTCCAACTTCTCTCTTTGATATTATCTGTTCAGTCGGAGTCAGGATGCAGATCACTCTTTATGTTTAAGCACCTCATAAGGCCTTCCCATTAATAATCTTGGCCCTTTAATGAACCTAGATTTTTTGGAAATTTGAGTAAATTTTCACACTTTCCTTTCCATGATGCTATGGTCTAACTTTTTTTTTTCCTGAACCCCTTAGTCATGTCTTTCTTTTCTCAAGATGTACAAAGGCACCTTGTCTACCAAATAAGAGACAAACTTTCTGAATACATGTTTTATTTACTAAGAGAAGGGTAACAAATCTTTCATACACACTATGTTGCCTTTTCTAAAATGGACTTAAGGAAACAGTGGCAGCTGGTTTATGCCAAAAGCATTTTGAGCCCAATCTATCTCCACAATATGCCACATCAAATTACAGGGTCCCGGAGAGTGGGTGACTCCCCCTGCAGGTTTTTCCTAAGGTGGAGAGTTGGTCCTAGCTGTTACCTTGGACATTGCTCCTGTTCTGGATGGTCTGCATCACCTCTCTTCTATCGCACTCCCCCGAGACCCCAAGCCTAACTTTTTTGGTATATAGCAAAGCCCCTTGAACCAAAAGGAGCATGACTGTGGGGTCAGTCAAGCAGCTGTTGTGCAACAGACGGGCTACAGAGGAGCCTATCTGTGCCCTAACCCCAGGACAGTTGACAGGTATAAAACCATGTGCCTCAGCGTGGACACCCAGAGCTAGCTTCTGGACTGTAGACTCAGTCACTAACTCATCACTCAGCCCCTTTGATTCTCTAGTGCCGTGGGAGGGCTATCAAAAACCTCCTCTAGTGAAAAATCTGCAGTAGAACCCACTTGAAGGAACAAACTTTGCAAAATCAATCCATAGCTATCATTAATATTTTGGCCAGGATATATGAGTCAGATAGGTACCTTAGAAGAGCAAATCTCACCAAGACATTAAAATTCCAGGTTTTCTTGAAACATTTTACTGGTCAAACAAACCATGCCTGCGGCAATATTTGACTTCCAATTTACAAACCCTACGATGGGATAAACAAAAATGTTTGTAAATGGAAACCATGACTGCCAAGTAACATTGATCTACAGCTTGTCGTGTGATGCTATATGTTCAGATGAACTCAGAGATGCAGGTAATTCTTTGTGGTTGAAGTATCTCTGCTCCATTAATGACCTTGGCCCAGATCTGGATTGACTGTAATTTTGAGCCATGAATGGAAAAGCTGGAAGGGACCTGTCAACTTAAAAAAAATACATTATAGAAAAATATCTCCTAATATAATGAATTTATTTGGGAGTAAAAAAAAAGAATTATAATCTGGGATACACAGCTCTGGCCAGCCATAGGTGCACCCAAAGAGGGGAGGGTAAGGGGAAACTTTTGTCTGGCAAAAGGGGAAGTTTACATTAGCTGCTTGGAAACAGTTCATTGGTTCTAGAGGCTCAAAGCTGGAGTTGACATAAGTTTGTTGGTGGAGATGCTGTTACTGGGCAAATGTTCTTTCCAGAGCATCTTATCTAATAGCTGCAGTCCTAAAGAATGTCTAGTGATAAACCTGGGCATAAAAATATGTGTATACATAGGAAATGTAGGTTGTGAAAAGCGTGAGATGTGTGAAGGGCTTAAAGGAATTCCTTGTGGGGTTATTTTAGAAAGTCCTTGAGACATTTCTTATCTCAGACATGCCAGCATGAGCTCTCCTCCTTCGTGCTTTCCCAGCTCCAACTTGTTTGGTTCTGACAAGAGTGATTTCATCCTGGTATCTGCGACTTTCACAGACCTGTGTCACTTAGGAATATTGCACAAAGAACAGAAAACCTGGCCAACAGTGGCTTCAATGGAGAGGGCATTTTTTGTGTGTATAACAAGATATTGGGAGGCAGGTGGTGACTCCCAGTGGTTCAGCTAATCCAGTGCTCTGTGGGCCCAGGCTCTTTCAGTCATTCTGCTGCACCTCACTTGGCAGTCTAGTTTTCATCCTCATTCCTGATGGCTCCACAGCTGCACATTTATGTTCAGGAAAGAAACAAGATGCATCTATTCCCCTGGTTAGGAAAACAGCAGCTTTTCTAGAAAGCCCCTCAGTAGACTTCCCTTTCCGGCTCGCTGGTCAGAACTATGTCACAGGACCACCCCAGCTTCAAGGGAGGCTGGGAAATGGAGTCTTTTCCTATTTACCTATGTGGTGGAGGAAAGCAAGGGAGAATGGGCTTAAGAATAGGTGTGGGGGCTATTGCAGTGTCTCCCAAGAGACTGCAGAGAAGTACAGTACCATCCAGCAGATGAGGTCCTGGATATTAAACTATCAGCAGTGGGCAGAGGACATATAGCGTCCACTTGAGTTCCCCTCTCTGCTTCCCTAAGAATCTGAAATAACTCATTGTGAGTCACAGGAGCTAAGCCAAGTGGAATCAGGCTCCTCCAAGTTCCCTTCTGCTGGGGAGATTTTTATCTTCTCATTCCTTCAGCACGTTGATGTTTGTGTGTGTTACCACAGTATCAATCCCGTGATGATGAGTGCCATAATGTAGAATTTCTGTGTCATTGTTAATGTGCTGTTCTTGTCTTCTGTCTCCTTCTGTTATTGGACCAAACAGAAGTATTCTGCTGTTTCTCTCTGCAACATCTCCACAGAAGTCCTGAAAGTCATCAATGCCACAGAGGAGTTGATAGCAGAGTCTACAGGGCCCTGGGAGTTCCCGCCAGTCCCTTCTGACAGAGAGAAGGGGACATTTCCTCTTGGGACAGACCAAGTGAGACTGGATGAGCAGCTGACTTCCCTGGAAGAAAACGTAAGAGAGTGTGGATGTACCTGGTCTAGGGTGAACATGTGTGAAGAAAAAGCTGAAGAAGTTGTAGCTCATCACAAGAACTGCAAGACACAAACACACACACACACACACACACACACAC